CGTGCTCGCCCTCCTCGAGGTCCTCGAGGTCGGCCCACGCCACTCTCCAAGGGGACCTTCTGGGCGCAGTCGCCGTCCTCGACAGCGACCTCGTGGGACTCGTCGGCCTCGACGTCGTCGTCCGGGGCCTCGGAGCAGTCCGCCTCCGCCACGGCCAGCCTGGCCGCGAAGGCGTTGTCGTCGAACTCGAGAAGAGCTCTCGCTTCGGCCAGTGCGGCCTCGTGCATGCCCCGTCGGCCCCGACGGAGTCGTCCTCGGCCCCGGAGTCGTCGTCCGAAAGCACGAGCAGGTCCCGGGCCTCGGAAACTTCAGCACTTCCGCTCGACATCCATCCTGGCCCCAGATGGGGTCGCCCTCAGCAAATGCGCGTGTATCCTCACCACGCTCCTCCTGCATGGTGTTGGAGGCCTGATCGTGGCGCAGCGGCTGTCCCCTGTCCCTGGACGCCCAGGCGCCACGCAGGCCGCGCCGTCTTCTGGATCCGCCTCCCAACAGCAGATCCGCGCGAAGACCTGGGGTGCTCAGCCCCACTGCTTCGATGGGCGAAGACGGGGAGGCCGTCTCGCCGGCCCAGACACACCGGGCTCCGTCGACCGCTAGCTTTGCCTCGACTGGGAGGGCCGACCCGACGCGCTCGAGCAGCGCGTCCAGGCACGGCTGCAGGAGGGTGCTGGTTTCCGCGTCGTGAGGGTCGGCACAAACCGCGAAGTGCCCAGCGTCAGCACTTCGCGGCGCATGTCTCAAGCAGCGTGCCTGGTTGGCGAATGCTGGGCATGAGACTCGAATAGGGGATCGACTACAACATTGATCTACCCCAGAATTAGTTTTCTCGTCGAATCATGCGCATAATGTTCGTAAATCTACGAACATTCTACGCATTTCTCATGGATTCGACGAAGAAATCAATTCTTCGCGCTTCGCCTATCCCCACCAGCCCATTCAGAAGCCCTGCCCATGAGAGTTGACGGGAAAAGGGACGAAGAGGAGACACATCTAGGGAAACAAAGTGAGCAACCAGGGTGAACCGAGAGATCTTTGGGAGCAAGGGGGTGGCCTTGGAAGGCCTCTTCGGGCCATCCCTGGGTGCCGCGTGGGGGCGAGGGGAAGAGAAGGAGGAGCAGGAGGAGGATGAGGACGAGGAGGAATAATAGGAGGACGAGGACGCGGATGAGGACGCGGACGAGTAGGACGAGGACTAGGATGAGGACGACGCGGACGAGGACTCCTGGAACCATCTGGAGGTATTAATTCGGCTGCTGTTGCTGCTGGTGCTCTCTGGAATTTTTGTTGGCCCTTTTGGAACCCTCGTGGTAACCCTGGAAGCCTTCTTGGGATCATCTTGGAGGCCATCGATTGCAGGATGGGAGGGTCCCCAACTCAGCTCCCCCATCAGGAGCCCGCAAACCGCTTCTTGGGGCTCTCTTGTAGCGGTCTTGGGGGCCGTTTGGAGCATCTTGGGAGCCATCTTGAGCCAGCTTGGGCTATCTGGGCCATCTTGGAGGTCATCTTGGGCTCGCTGAGGCCGCTCGGGGGCCTCTTGGGGCCGTCTCGGGGCTCTCTTGGGACCCTCTTGGGGCCCAAGTGGGGCTGCCTGGGCGCTCCCTTCGGAGCGATCAAAGGAGGGGGGGTCCCGATCTACGTCCCCCCCCTGGGTCCCTGCACACCGCCTCTTGGGGCGCTCTTGGGGCCCTCTTGGGGCGCTCCTGGGCGTTCTTGGGGCCGTCTTAGGGGCATTTTGGGCCCCTGTTGGGGCCTTCTTGGGCCAGCTTAGGGCCATCTTGAGGCCCCCAAAGCGCATCGGAAGCGAAACGGCGAGAAGGCAAAAATCTCCCGATCGAGGTCCCCCCCTCGGGGGCCACGATCCTCGTGAGAGGTGTCAAACATTGGCCCTCCCAGGGGCCGAAAAAGGACCCTCTGGCCTCCCGCGACCGCCGCCGAAAAAGGCCAGGGGAGGGGTAGGGGGAGGGGTCAAGACGCCCTCCCCGCCCGCAGGCCGTCTCGCTCACCCCCACCCGCCCTCCCAACACATACGTAGCACCCGAGCCTTGCCCGAGCCTCAGCATATTCAGCAGTCGTCTTTGGATGGTAAGCTACTGGGGGCCAATCCGCCGCCGCCGCCGCCGCCGCCGCTGCCCGCCGCCGCCGCCGCCGCGCCGCCGCCGCCGCCGCCGCTGTCCGCCGCCACCGCCGCCGCGCCGCCCGCCGCCGCCGCCGCCGCCGCCGCCACCGCCCCCGCTGCCGAATCGCCGCCGCCGCAGCCGCTACCGCCACAGCCGCTGCCGAGAAGCTGTCTCCGCTGCCGCCGCCGCCACCGCCCCCGCCGCCGCCACCGCCGCCGCCACCGCCGCCGCCACCGCAGCCGCCGCAGCCGCTACCCCCGCCGCAGCCGCCGCCGCCGCCGCCGCCGCCAAGTGAACTCTGCATTGTTGTTTGACAAGGATGGTGGGGGGAGGCCGCATCGGGTTCGCTGCGCATGCTCCGAATTTGGAGGCAGAGTGTGTTATGTATTGTTTGTTTACAAGGGATGGTGGGGGGGTGCCCTCATTGTCCCTGGTTGGCTCCCAGTCAACTGGGGGGGGTATATTGGTAGGGAACAGTGATAAACCTTTCCCCGAAGGGGAAGAGGGGTTTTGTGGAAGAGGAAAGAAAGACATCGTTAGACCACCTGCGCCCAGAGGGCTGGTGGGATTTCGGGATACATCAATTCTGTAGTCGACCCCCTACTCGAGAAACTGAGGAGAGCTAGGGCTGGTGTTGGGGAGATCGTGGCGCCTGCTCACCATTTCTGGGGTGCGCCTGGGCATCAGTGCGGCCACGGAAGCACCGCGGTGAAGTCCCGAGGGTGTGGTCCGCCGGGGCCGCCCGAGCGCTCTCTTCGGGCAGCTGGCTGGACCTAAACGATGTTTTGGCCATCTCGTGGGCCGTTTTGCTTTGCATTCAAGGCGAAGCGACGGCAAAACGAGGAAGAACGAGGAACAGCAAGTCGAAAACGAAAAACACCTTTTAGGCTCAGCCCTGCCTCACGCCGCTGGCTAGGCTGCTCTGGCCTCGCCGCTGCCGGCCCTGCTGCTCCTGGACAGTCTCCGGACGCACTTGGAACACATCGGGTCTGATCGGGAGGTCGACCTTGCAAAATCAAGGCTACCGTTGTGTCCTGTCGACCGCGTTTCATGTCCCCACTTATGCCTGGAGCATCGGAAGGGACTTGTGTGTCCTCTCGGGTGTCCCCATGTAATCAGTCCCAACTGTATGTTGGGGCCTTGCGGGCCATCTCGAGACCCTCTTGAAGCCTCTCGGACTAGCTGTACCTGATTGACGCTGCTGCTGGCTGCTTCTGCTGCTGCTAGCTGCTAGCTTTGCTGCTGGTCCTGTCGCCCTGTTGGTGTTGGACAGTATCGGGCCATGTTGCCATTTCGTTGAGCATCTTTGTTTGGGGTCCCTGTTGGACCCGCCTTAGGCCTCTTTTAGCCAACTTCAGCTGCCCTGGGGATTCTTGGGTCCCTGGGACGTCTTGGCGGCCTCTTTGGGCCGCCTTGGCGGTCTCTTGGACCCTGTTTGGTCCCTGAGGAGGTCCTGATGGGCCGCGTGGTTGACATCAGCAGCTCTTATCAGTCCCTGGACCACTCTTACGTTGGCCGTCTCGAAGCCGTCTGGAGCGCTCATGACGGCCCAGCATGGGCGATCATGTGGTCTGGAGGGCCTGGGCGTCGTTCATCAGGGGTGTCCAGAATGTCCGTAGGAGGCGAGAAAGCCCCTTGGGGCGTGGGTGGGGATTGCCCAGTAATGGTCTTGGAATGTGATGAGGTGTGCAAACACATGCACACACGGTGCAGCATGCGTGTATATATATATATATGTCTTTCTCTCTCTTTCTTTCTTGTTGTTTCTCTCTCTCTCTCTCTCTATATCTATATATATATATATATATATACACACCGCGCCATGCACCCTGGTCCTTGAAGCTTGGCATGCAGGCGGAATGGCAGGAATGTCAAACAGACAATTTCGCGATAACTCCTAGTTGCCTTTTCCAGCATCCGGTTTCCTTCCTCCATGTTTCTTTTTCCTCATTCTCGCCCTACCCTGCGAATTCTTCCGCATTCTCCTCAGCTCTTTTGGCGGAGGCTCCTCCTTAGAGAGCCTCTGGGGGCCTCACATCAGTTTTTCATGCTTTCTTGAGGCCTTCTGGAGGTCTCCTGGGCGTCTTCTGTGGGCCTCTGGGGGCTTCCTCGGCCCACCCTGCCTACAACCGCGGTCTCCCTGAACGACCGGGTCACGATTTCGAAATGTTACGGAGGGTGTTCAATCTGGGGCTTGGGCCATCATGGGGCTCTCTCAGGCCATCTTGGAACCCTGTTATGCCGGCTTGGGGCTCTATTGGACTGCCTGGAAGACTTTTCGGATGGTCTTGTGGCTATTTTCGAGCTTCCCTGGCGGTCTCGGACGCCCAGAAGACCGAGGAACAGGGCTTTCCCCAAATCATACAAAAACCTGTGATAACCCATGATTTTCTGCGTTTTGGAAGCCTCTTCGAGGTCTTCTTTGGGTCGTCTTCGGGCGTCTGGTGGGTGTCTGGGGCCTCTTGGAGCCCTCGGGGGGGCGTTCGGCTGCCCTCCTGACCGTTTTGGGCCCGCTGCATAGGCCCAGCAAGAGCTTCAAGGAGCTATGAAACGCCTGGGAGGCCTCCTGCAGTGTCGTCCAGGGGGTCCCTGGGGCCACGGATCCGGGGGGTCCAGACGGTCCCGGTGGCCCGGGATTCGGGGGGTCCGATTTCGGGGGGGGGGGTCCCGGGTAATTAAAACACATGAGTGGTGCTGCTACTCCTACTCCCGATCGGCCCGAAGGCCGTGCCAATCTAGAACTCGGGGGCAAAACTTGGCCCGTGCCTCCGGCACCCGGGCAATCGTGCGATCGTACGTCTTGCGAGGACTGCTTCTCGGGCGGGCAAGGGCGATGAGCGAAAGAGGGCGGGGGAAAGGGGGCAGAAGGAAAGAAAACCGTCAGATCTCGTTCGCGAGGGCCTTCACGAAGAACTCCGCCTTGACAGGCACATATTCGATCGGTCCACCTCTGAAGCGGTCGGCCTCGGTGGCGCGCACGACTGGGTCGCCAAGCATACGAAAGAGAACACCACTGCGACAGATGTCCATGTTCGATTTGTTGGACTAACAAACCTCTCTGGCGGTTGCGCCTGTTGCTCCATTCTGTGATTGGATGTTGCGCTAGAGCCGCCTCCAGCCGGCGCTTCATGCGATGGCCAGTAAGCTGCCGTGCTTCTTCCTCCAAGCGTACCCACCCAACCACACGCCTCGACACTTTCCTCTGTGGCGCGCCCAGCTCGTCGAGGTCTTTCTGGGTGAGTGGCGCTGTGTTCAGACTGCAGAGGACGGACGGCGTCACCATGGAGTCGAAAAGACGCAGGCGCAATGCGATCGGAATGTGGCGTTTTTGCATGGCGTCTGCAAGCTGATGGTACTTCAGCCAAGCGCACTTCATGCGGTGCTCCAAATTGCACTTACCGCGCATCCTCAAATCGCCGCTCAGCAGCCGGCCAAGGTATTCGTGCTTGCCCGCGTGCTTGACAACCTCCACCATCCCGCCGCCAGCATCGAGGAAGAGCGGGACCTCGTCTGTTGCAACGTTGACATCTGTAGTCGGAATACTCGTCTTCCGAGCGTTATATACATGTATATAGATATGTGTATGTATGTGTATGCATGCATGCATGCGTGGATGGATGGATGGACGGATGTTTTGATGGATGTAGGTAGGTAGGTAGGTAGGTAGGTAGGTAGGTAGGTAGGTAGGTAGGTAGGTAAGTAGGTTTGTATGTATGCAGATATGTATGCATACTTGTTGGTATGTATGTATGCGTGCATGCATACATGTACGCATGCATGCAGGTATGTAGATATGTACGTATGTATGTATGTATGCCTTAATTTATATACGTACATGTGTATGCAGATATGTATGTCTGTGTGTATGTGTATATGCATATTTGTATGCGTATGCATGTATTGCATGTCTGTCTGTCTGTCTGTCTGTCTGTCTGCCTGTCTGTCTGTCTGTCTTTCTGTCTGTCTGTCTGTCTGTCTGTCTGTATGTATGTATGTATGTATGTATGTATGTATGTGTGTATGTGTGTATGTGCATACATCTATGCACGCTCGCATTGCAGATAGACATGTGCACACTCAGCATGACGTGCTGCTGGCATGTCAGCCGTCGTCTACGGTATCGTGATTCAGCTCTCCGCTGTTGGACCGTCGCACTCCGCTTCTCACCCAAACCTGGCTCTCTCCGTTCTCGCCCTCTCCATCGCCTCTTGTCAAGCGCCCTGGCCCGACCTGTACAGAAAGGCGCAGCAAGCACCGTTGCGCTGCTTCCTCGAGATTTTCGCTGGCAGAGCGAGCCACCAGGGCTACATAGCAGAGTCACCGCAGAGCAGGAGTCGGCACCTTCTTCTCCTCCAGAACAGGGGGGGCAGGAGGAGGAAGACGAGGGGAGGAGGGGAGAAGGAGAAGCTGAGGAGGATGGGGAGGGGTCAGGGGGAGGAATCGGAGGATGATGAGAGGCGGGAAGAAGGATGTGGATGATGGGGGATGGGGGACGAGGAGGAGGAGGAGGCCGAAGCCCTACTCTGCAATTGTCATTCGGACTATACGTCAGAAGTAAGAGGAGGGAGGAGGGGCAGTAATATGACAATGTGTAGTGAAGCGGCAGGAGGGATGTAAGAATAGCAACATTTATCATGAGGATGAGCAGAGTTGGACATGTGAAGATAATTGTTGATCATGATAAAGGTGAAGGAGGAGTATGTTGAGGAGGAGAGATGGAGGAGGAGGAGGAGGAGGAGGAGGACGAGTAGGACAAGGAGTACGGATGATGGAAAATAAGGGGCAGGGCGAGGGTGATGTAGGAGGGAAGAGGACAAGGATGAGGTTGAAGAGGAGGAGGATGAAGGAGCAGAAGGTGGAGGAGGAGAAGGAGGAGGAGGAGAGGAGGAGGAAGTGGAGAAGGAGGAGTAGGTGTATGAGGAAGAGAGAGAGAGAGAGAGAAAGAGAGAAAGAGAGAGAGAGAGTGAGAAAAAGAGAGAGAGAGAGAGAGAGAGATAGAGAGAAACAAAAAACAATCATGACGAGTGAGGACGGGTCCTCTTCCTCATGATTCTTGCCCGTGCTCTTCGCCCCCGTTGTCCCGAGGGGCTGCCGCACGCTCGATATCTCTCCTCGCTCCTCACAGGGTCGGGGCCTCGCAAGCCGCCTCCTGCTCCTGCTGCAGCCCAGAGGGTGCAAGGCCTCCAGAAAGGATGAGGGAAGCTCAAAGTTGAGTAGGGCTGAGGGTCAGAGAGCGCCTTCCTCTGCAGGACCACCAACAGAGGGACGTCAAGGTAATCAAGCGCCTCGCCGGTTAAGCCCACGGAGGCGTGCAACCTCCAGCCATTCGCTTATGTCCAAGGTTTCGGCTTGACGCCGAGTGTAGTGCATCAGTTTCGGCTTGACCGAACAGGTTGGTTGGCCCCTTGACGTCCGTTTGGGGTGTTCTGCAGACCTGGCCCCCCAGCCCTACTCAGCTCAAAAATAGAGGTTCGGTCATCACTTCGGGATGTGGACCCTCTTGGCAGCGTCACCGCGCGCGCGTGCGGCGCTGGCAGGGCGGGCCCCCCTTGGAATTTTCGTAACGCAGCCTCGGCCAGAGCTGCGGGCGAGCACCGCGGTCTGCCGCCCGCCGAGGATGGGAGCCGCTTCGCGAGATCTCTCCGGACTCTTTGGGCAGAGGGGGGAGGGCGGGAGGCGCAGCAGCAGCAGCAGGAGGAGGAGGACAGGGGGAGCAGGGGCGACAAGGGAGGAGAGAGGAGCCTCCCCCTTCTATCCTCTCGCGTTGCCGTGCTGCCAGCGTCAGAGGGCGGATCCTGGCACTCCGAGGGGCCTGGCTTAGCACCGCCACACTGCCCTCTTGCAGGGCTGGACCTAGACGCTGTTTTGCTGGACTTCGGCTGTGTCTAGTTTTGCGTTTTGGGAGGGAGGTACAGGAAAACAGGTAGAGCAAAACGAAAAGCAAGACGAAAGCAAAACGATCATCTACGTTTAGGTCCAGCCCTGTCCTCGTGTGGGATGCCCCGACGGCTCGAGCGCAGACCTCCTGTGAGAGCTCGCGTCGAGGGGGGCCTCTCGCCGACGCAGAAAGTGCGCTGGGGAACTTGTCCTTGGAGGACACGCTCCCTGGCGCGCCTGCCCTTGCTGGCGGCGGGCTCGCACGCACTCTTGAGCTCCATAGAGCCCTTGAGTTCCCAACTCCTCCTCCTCCTCCTCCTCCGCCTCAAATGTCACCGAGAAACCGGGGCGCGAGCCTAACGGTGTTTCGGCGCTTTCGTGGACCGTTTTCTTTCTGATCTCGCTCGGCGGCCGAGGCGTAGCCGACGACGGAGCGAGGGAAAACGAAACCACAAAACGCACACGGAGCACACTGCCTTGCTCGAGCCCTGCCAAAAAAAACATGCATGCAGGCGGGGGAAGCGTTACCGTGGCAGTCCAGTCTCACGCGCCGCGTCGGGGCCTGCAGTCGGCCTTGATTGGTGGGTCGACCCCGCCGAGTCACACGGGCACCCTTCTGTCCTAGACCCGTGCCTTCTGCATTCCGATGGCAGTGTCGCCCTCGGAAGTCCAATCGGGGTTGGCAGCAGGAGGGACCCAGGAACCAATCTGGCTGCCGCGCAACCTCGTCGATGAGCACGGCAGCAAACCTCACTGGTCTGAGGAGACTGTAGTGGAGACCCATGCCAAGAAGCACCCTGCTTGCCTCCAGGGTGCCCTGGGCATCTTGTGTTTCGATGGTGTTGCGATGGGAAGCGTGATGTTTCCACACCGAAAACTCAATGGACGTCCTGCGGTCTCAGGGTTGGGTTTCTTGTGGAAGGTTTCTTTTGGACTGGCCCCAACTGAAACAGCCGAAGCGATGGTGGTGACACAGACGACGTCCGCTCTTCTCAGGACGTCCATGCCGATCATGCTGTCCTGCTTCCGCTGCTCTCCCTCTAGATCTCCTCCCTGGGCTCAACCTCGGGTCCTCCGAGCCGACGTCGACTCGCGCCGACCTCTCCTCCTCCTCCTCCTGCTCCTGCTCCTCCTCGTCCTCTTCCTCGTCCTCCTCCTCCTCCTCCTCCTCCTTCTCCTCCCCGTGCTCATCCGCCTCCTCCTCCTCCTCCTCCTCCTCCTCCTCCTCCTCCTCCTCCTACCCTCCCTCCCTCGTGTCCTCTCGCGTGTCCCCTCCAATCAAGTCCGACTGACTGTAGGGGCCTCCGCGGAGAGCCGCGGGCGTGCACTCCCGCCCGCCCCCAACGACCGACGAGGCCTCGCGCACGCGCGCGCCCGTGGCTGGCGGAGCCTCCCCGCGCCGGAGGGCGGGCGCCGTGCGCGAGGGCGCCGCGGTCGTGGCGCGGCGCCAGCATCGCGCCGTCGCAGAGTAATTACTCGGCATCGCTCGGACGTGTGATTTTTCCTCTGCGGGGACCACCGATGAAGCAGTGGCGAAGCGTCCTGGTTCGCCAGTATAGGCACATCAGAGAATTGTTCAAGAACCTTTTGAGGCCTGCACGAAGTGTTCTTAGAGAACTTTTCTGGCTGAGGCTGCTTTGTTTTAACACATCGGGCTTGTGTTCAAATATTATTGTTCTTGCTATGAGACCATTTGGGGGTTTCAAGAGCACGTCGTGGTAGGCCTGTAGGACTGCCGGGACGGTCGGCCCTTGCTCAACATCGAGGAGCATTTTGGATCATCTTGCGGAAAAACAAATGCACGCGCGGAGCCGGAAAACGTACGGGGAAGGGACGTCCGAGCGATGGCGAGAGGAGGGGAGTCTGTGCTCAAAGTCGGAGGGGAGGGTTTTCGTCGGTTCTCGGCGGTTTCCCAGCCTCGGGATGCGTTCCATGAGCTACGTCTCGCCGAGAGCGTTCCGGGGGTCTGCCGGAATCGTCCCAAACGGCCGCCGGCCCGACGTATGACCCGAAAAAACCACCAGGGTTTCACGACACCGACCGTGTGTCACACGAGGGCGAGCTGAAACAACGGTAGTTGGCCTTCGGGGGGCCAGCTTGTCGCCACGCCTGGGCGCAGCTCGCAAAATTGGCGCGTCTGGATTTGGGGACCGGTTTTTAGCAGTCGTTGTCGCAACTCGCCCTGCCACGACTGTCTCTGGCTTCCTCGTGCCGTCCCTCTGTCTCTCTGGCTCATTATCTCCCTCTCCGTCCGCGTGACGAGTCTGTCGACATGGGTGGGGGAGCGCTGTACGAACCTTGTCTCTGGGCCTTTAGGTGGCGCTCCTTTTGAGCACGATCCACGTGATGGGGTGTGCCGCAATGGCAAGGGGGGGGCGCAGTGCGAAGCTTGCCTTCGCGGCCGTAGGTGGAGATCCCTGTGGGCCACGATTTGTGTTAGAGGTGTGCCGACGTAGACGGGAGGGCGGGATGCGAACCTTGTCTCCAGGGCCGCTTGTAGAACTCTTTGCGGGCCACGATCCGTGTGATAGGTGTGCCGAAGTGAGCGGGGCGACGCTATGAAGCTTCACTCATGGTGCCGCACCACTATGCGAACCTTGTCTCTGGGGACGTAGATGGAGTTCCCTGTGGGGCGCGATCCCTGTGAGGGGTGTGCCGACAAGGGTTGGGGAACGCTAGCCAAGCCTGTCTGGAGCCGCAGGTGGAGCTCCTTGCGGGGCACGACCCGTGCGACAGCCTACGTCTTCCAATACCGAATGCTTTAGACTACAACTCGAGCTTGCTAGAATCTCAGCGCGCGCCAAGCGCCAAGCGCGCGTGGTTCTGGTATACATACATCTATGTAGATGTATGTGTGTATGTGTCCCTCTCTTGCGGCTGGACAAATCGTACGCTTTGCCCCGTCTTCTAGAGCCCGCGAGCGGATTGCCTCTGCCGCGCCCGACGGAGAAAGCGTGCCCCTCGCCCCCAAGGTGCCCTCCACTGTTCGGGGGATCGCCATTTTGTGGTCCGGCCGCGGCGGCACGGCCAGAGTGTCGGCTCCAAGGGAGAGGGGAGACAAGAGGAATGGGAAGTGATATCAAAGCAGCGGGGTGGAGAAGGAGAAGGAAGAGTAGGGATGAGGAGGAAGAGGAGAGGGAGAGCATCGGTGCGTCTCTAGAGACTTGGGACAGTAGGACGGCACCAATGTCCATGCTGCTTCACGGTTCTCAGGGGCAGCACTGCTGAACAGGGAGTTCAAAAGTCGAGAAGTTGGTGCTTCGTCTTCCCCTGGAATGATGCTTTTTGACGCCTGGCGAAGCCTCACCAGCCCATCCAGCAACGACGCCTAGGCGAGTTGCACTGATCAGGGCAGTGTGGGAGCGCGCAGTGGAACAAACAGGGGGGCGGGCAGCCGTCAGATCGAAGATTGGGATCAGCTTGGGCAGGCCCAGGACTCAACCACCAATGCCTTCGCGGATCTGTCGATATGGAAGCTTCCTGGCAGTTTACTTGGGCTCTCTTGGAGCCTTTGTGGAGGCCTTTTGGGCTCTGTTGGGGCCCTCTCGGGGCCCTCTTGGGGCTCTCTTAGGGTCTTGAGGGAGCTCTTGTGGCCATCTCGGGGGCCATCGAACAAAAGAAGGGGGTTCTCAATCACGCCCCGCCTCCGTCGGAGGCCGAATAATTGCCTCTTGGGCCCCTCTTGGGGCTTTCCTGGTCATCTTCGGGCCATCTTGAGGCCTCAAGAGCCCATCGGAAGCGGAACGGCGAAAATACACAACACATTGATATTGAATTTGTTTTTGTATGGATTTCGGCCACCCTGGGGGTCCTTTGAGGCTCCGTGGCCACTTGGAGCCGTCTTGGGATGGTCATGGCGCCTGGTGGAGGCGTGCCGGATACTTTCTTGAGCCATTTTGTGCTACATTGTTCGATCTTGGAGGCCATCTTGGGCTATTTGGGACCCTCTTGGTACCATCTCGGACGCTCTAACGCGTCGCGGCGCCCACCCCTCTCCAAGCCCAGGGAAAGGGGATTAGGGGGACAGGTAGACCTTTCCACGAGGGGGAAGGAGGTGGGAATACCTAACTCTCTAAGCTACCTACGCCCAAAGGGCTGGTGGGGTTCTCTGGAGCCGAACCGTTGCTGAATAGACGTGGGTTCCACTTCGGAGAATCTGGTCAGCTTGTTATCTCTCTCTCTTTCTTTCTGTCTTTCCACCATCCCCTGTGACAGGGCGAAGGGTGGCTATATACAGAGAATGTGCCGTCTCCGTCGTTGTCGTCGTAGTCGACGTACTCCTCCTCCTTCTCATCCACTAGTTTTCTTTATAAATGAGTCCTCCCTGTCGCGCCCCGAGACGTGTCAGTAGGGCGGGCTGGGCGTTTCGCTTGAGATTACCCCATCGGTTATAATCCTTAAGCTTTAATTTTGACAGTCTCTCGGATGGAGGGGGTCGTTTTCAAAATGTGTCTTTCGCATTTGCCCCGTGCTCATGTGTTGCACACCCTTGCAACAGCTTCAAGGATGGAGGGTGCGGTCTTCAAATTGTATCACCCCGGGTCATGAGAGGTTGACCCGGTAAGTGCTTTCAGGCCGGTTTAGTCGTCAAAAGGGGGGTTAGTTGTGGAACGTATACGACTACTATGATTACTACTACTGCTACTACTACTACTACTACCACTACTACCACTACTACTACTACTACTACTACTACTACTACTACTACTACCACTACTACTACGACTACTACGACTACTACGACCTACTACTACTACTACTACTACTACTACTACTACTACTATTACTACTACTACTACTACTACTGCTACTACTACTACTACTATTACTACTACTACTACTACTACTACTACTATTACTACTACTACTACTACTACTACCAGTACTACTAGTACTAGTACTACTAATAGTAGTACTACTAGTCCTACTACTAGTACTACTACTATTACTGGTACTACTACTACTACCACTACCATTACTACTACTACTACTACTACTACTACTACCACTACTACTACTACTACTACTACTACTACCACTACTACT